TTTGCATTCCCAGAAATATTGCGCTGGTATACATACGCGTATGTATGGATTGTATACATGTGTGATACGAGTACATTTTACTGACAGCTGGTATTCCGTGTGCTTGGAAATAACCAATAGAACAGCGGCTCATAAGCAAAATGAAATAAAAAAGATAAGAGAAATATAAAAAAAAATATGATATAATAAAATAAAGTAAAATAAAATAAAATAAAATAAAATAAAATAAAATAAAATAAAATAAAATAAAATAAAATAAAATAAAATAAAATAAAATAAAATAAAATGCTATAATTAATAAATTATAATTTACAATTCATAATATATAATATATAATTTAGACGGAGACGTCGGTGTATTAACAAGGTCGTGTGTACATCTAAACAGCTCCAACTTGCTAATGATGTGGAGCGGCGCCTACAGCCGGCACAACGAGTGCTAATAAAAGCCTATGCATAGCAATCGCCCATGTTGGGGCAACTGTATACATTATACACCTCAAAGGGAGACAGCTTCCCTACGCGCTGCTGCCAAAATTACCAACTCAAAATACATACGCACACCTACACGTTCACGGATGTCTCTATATTATTACAGATGTTATCGCTGCGGCGCCTTGGGCAACTGCGACCACTAGACTATGCCACGCTATGGACATTATAAACTTTAATTAAACGCAAGCTGAACGCAGACGAATGAACACACTGCATCTTGCCGCGTCAGATCATGCCGAGTTGTGTCGTGCGGTGCGCTGCTGCTTGGCGGCTTGGACTCTAGTCAGACCAGTCAACTTAATAAGCGTATTACCATTACCAGAAACCAGAGCAAGCCTCTGCTCTTCTGTCATTGCTATTTCTATTTTTTTACTGCCGTACGGCCGTTGTTGTTGCATTAGCCGGGTGGGTGTTTGGGTGGTCACAGCGTTCATTAAACAAACATATATACAGATCTACGTATATACGCAAGGAGAGCATTTGAAGCTGGTCCAGCTTCCGGGCATTAAATGCTATTTGAGTGATTCTGTGTGTATAAAAACCTATTCACTTACATATATATGTGGTATATGTATACTCGTAGGTATGCATGAGCGAGTCTCGTTCTAGCGTCATAATTTGGACAAGTATTTATATACGTATGTATGTGTACGAGTATGTATGTGAATGTCAGCTACGGTGGAGCTCGGTAATGTTTGGCTTCTATTCAATATGTAGTCGTGTAGAAAATATGAAATTTGTGTTGCCTGCAAATTATGGCATTTGGTAGGGGCAAGGCAAGGCGAACAAGCATGAATTGACGTGAGAAATTAAGCTGACTACAAATGTTTGCAAATATTTACAAATGTATGTATGTGTGGATATGCTGGTGATTAAGTGCATTCTGTTAAGATTTAATTTTTGATATGTTAATATGAGAACAGGAGATAACTGAGAATAATTACTCTGAGTATTATCAAAAATCGTGTTTATAATTTACAGTTTTTATAGCGAGATCAACATTATTTGGCATTTCATTTAATAAGGTCCTCCCGAAGGATCGCTTAAAATTTAAAGGCCGTACTTTATACATTTTACAGTATTGAGGGCTACCCCTTTAATTAAGACCTCAAAAGTCCATATCAAAATAATTGTAGAATTGGACCCCTAGTAAGTTTACCCACCAGCAAACAGGTTCACTTTGTTAAAGATAGGTTTGAATATTAGAAAAAGTTAGGTTAGGTAAAACGCTTGTCTCCTAAATAGCTCAATGACCCAGTGAAAGTCGCCAGCAGATGTGAAAATACCTAAGTGGCTTAATGCTAGGAGCTTACGACTCTCAGTGTAAAGCATTTTAACTTTGCCACCGAATTCCTGCTGGTAGGTTTGCCGAAAGGATTCCAAACATTCCAGTAGAGTTATTGGTTTTTCATATTATAGAGAGTGACCTTGGAAATATCTAATTATGCCATTTCTACGCTACATTGACGTGAATGAGTTTTGATGTGTAAATCCCAACTCGTTTACCCAAAAAACATAAAAAAGCGAAAAAATCCATCAGCATTTTGACATTGTAATGACGTATTTGGTTGTGCGCTTTCGTATCAGTTTCTTTACGAACTTTATTTGTGTGTGAAGAGGTCCTTGACACCCGCTTCAACAAATTTTGAAAGGGCAATAACTTATGGACAAAATACAATGAGCTGGTTTGGGGCACAATCAGCGAAAGCGCTTTAATCATACAAACATATTGAAGCACAATTCATTTAAGTAAAAGCGTTTATATTCAGAAAATCCAAAAGCAATGAAACACGCATTGTTTTGGAACAAAACAAGCGCAAAAATAAACAAACAATCAAGAAGGAGATGAGATGCGTTAATAGAATTGCGTTCAACGACAGCGTAAAACACCAGGAGGCGTCGTCCGATAATGGATTTGCGTGGCTGGGTGATGGGTGGCAAGAATGGCAGACACTTTATGGACACGCGCCATGAAAAGTAATTTGTAAGGACTCCGCTGTGTATTGTGTTTGGATATTGCTCAGTTTTGGAAACACTGCGCGGCGCGGGGAAGAGATTTGGTGTGGTTGGCATGCCGCAAATTAAAGGCCCTCGCAAATTGTAGGTGGATTATTTTCATTTGGTTACACTTCTACACTTTTTCTGTTACCATAGATGTGAGTGAAGGTGTGTGTATATACCTAATATTTATTATTCATGCCACATCCGGTTAATGAGGTAGATAAAATATGAAATAAATAAGAAATATTGCTCGCTTGCAGGATCTAGCGAGTAAGTGACGAAAAGTGACGCTGAACGTGTTGCAAGTGTTTTCGAAATACTTTACTCACTTACTTTACTGGCCTAGACACTGCTTACGGGATTATAGCCGATTAAACAACCTTGCGTCATTCGTTTCTTATTTTTGCTGTTTGGCGCCAATTGGAAACGCCAAGTACAGCCATGTCCTTCTCTACCTGGTCTTTCCAACGGAGTGGATGTCTTGCTCTTCCTCTGCTTCCACCGGCGGATACTGCAAGGCAGGAGTATTCGCATCCATCCGGGCCACATGACCTAGCCAGCGTAGCCGCTGCTTCTTGATTCGCTGAACAATATCAATGTCGCCGTATAACTCGTACAGCTTATCGTTTCATCGTCTGCGATATTCGCCGTTGCCAATGCGCAAAGGACCATAAATCTTACGTAAAACCTTTTTCTCGAAAATTCCTAACGACGACTCATCAGATGAAGTCATCGTCCTTGCTTCCACACCATATAGGAGGACGGGAACGATGAGGAATTCGTAGAATTCGGTTTTCGTTCGTCGAGAGAGAACACTTTACTCTTCAATTGCCCACTCAATCCAAAGTAGCACCTGATTTCAAGGCTGATGTTATTATTGGCGTTGGAAATAATCTACGACCTTAAAGTTATGACTGTCATCAGTGACTTGGGAGCCAAGTCGCAAATGCCTTGACTGTTTGTTTGATGACAGGAGATATTTCATCTTGCTTTTGTTCACTACCAGACCTAAAATAACATGAATATATTAATTGAAGACGATGAAAAATCGAAGGATTACGGATGTTCTAAAGATTAATCCGAAACAAAGTTACTCAGAATTAGCCATTTTCGGCTACCTATTCATTTTTAGTCCAAATAAGTTGCTTTAACGACTTTGAGTTAGAATGTGTACGAGAATATGGTAGAAAAAGATCCATCAACCCAAATTAATTTGCCGATTTCAAAATCAAATCATCAAAGAAAGAGCGTGTCTCATCCGATACTGCTTTTTTTCATTGGAACTGGTGTCTAAGTGGCGTGATCCAAACCCACGGCATAACCGCGCTAGGTGAGTAGGTTCAAGTCGTTTATATAGCGATCTGCTTGCTATAAGACCGAGCCTCGCAACAGCATTTATGCTTCTGAAACTTCCCCTAGTTTAGCCTTGATACTAAGTTCCACCAAAGTTGACTACTGAATCTTGCACAAATGTAAGGATTGAGTAAAGCCGTCCGACTGTAACTGCAAAGCCGAAACCCATTAGACAATTTGGCATAAGAGAATATCACATCTGACAGAACGATGAGCTGTACGAGATGAACGTTGACATTGACACAGCTGACTATGTCATGGGGTGTGAGTGGATAATAAAACTTCAGCTTTTTAAGATCCATATCAAAATTAGAGAAGGAGCTATTGTTTCCGGCGGTTATGGGTAATATATGAAATGGCCAAACTTTTCCCTCAATCAATTTTTGAGGACAAAACAAGAGATATACATTAAGACCAGAAATTCGAATTCCGAGACTCAAGTTACCACTCACTTGGGCCCGTAAAGAAAATTCGTAGAGGGAACTGAGTTTGGCAGACCGCGTAGTAATTAAGGACAGTGCTACCAAATTGACGAAAAAATGGTGAAAAATATTCAGCGCTGGCAATTTAATTGACAATTTCCAGAAACAAATCCAAACACACATGATTTATGGAAATAAGCGTTTCGGATCTTTGTTTGAAGTTTATTTTTTGAACGATACTACTTCAGACTGTTATTCTAAATGAGAAAACTTGGTTTATGCTAAAGAAAATGTTTCAGAATCTCGAGAATACGTAAATTTCGGAAGGGCCTTTCAAATGTATGATCCAATAACATATCTGTATTACCGAAAAAGGGCTGGCCCTGCAGATGAATACGTATTGAGTCTGTTCGAGCTGTTCTATGGCAGTATAAACAGTAAAATAAGTAAATTTAATGCATTATTCTCGCATTTTGAGGTGAATCTGTAACGGCTTTCTAAAAGTTTTTATACCAAAGTTTGCATTTCTCTCATCTCTTTTATTTGCTACATATATTGTATTAATATTGCAAACAAAAATACATATACAAATATTTTGCATTGTTTTTATGATGAAAGAAGCAAAGTGTGAAATTTTTACGCATTCTCTAACGGACGCCCATAAATAAACGAAGCCGGAGAAAGTATGAAATAAAAAGCATGCAAAAATATTTTCTTTTATTTCACTTACCACTGGCGTAAGAAAACGAAGGACGTGGAGGAATATGGCCGTAAGAGGCTATGTTGCTATTGAAAAAATGTTATTTTTGTTGTTGCTTGTTATTATTTTGATGGCACAACCCACTCGACGAAAACTCTCGAGTTGTTTAGATGTCGCTCCCGGGTATGCTCGCAGTGGCGCTTGTGCTCACACTTTTTCTCTATCTCTCTCACTTGTGTGTTTACGTCTTATGCTTTATTTTTTGGTTTTGCTGTTATTGAAGTAAAATCAGCTGTCAAAATTTGCTGGCAAGGATATTGTTTTTAGGCATTTTCGCTTTCGACAGTTCTTTCTTCACTCTTATGTCAAAATTCTTGTGAGAAAAGTAAAGTAGAAAAGGATGAGGACGGCGAGAAAATGACAGGAAAATTCGCAAATAACATAAAAATATACATATATACATGTACATGTACATTATTCACATAACAATATCGCATGTATTAGTCTGCTTTTAGGCGCTGTCACAAGTTGTATTTTATTTGCCGCTAAGTTTGCATGAAACTATAGCGAAATAGATGCTCACACATATGCATATCTATACATCTGCACTTGTATATACCCAGAATATAAATCATTTACACTTTCGTTAATGCTTCTTCCGTTGGATACGAGATCTCTAACATTCCTGTGGTAGGAATGGATAAAAGAATCTTCGCAATTTCTTTTTCGGAATACTTCTTTCACATTGATAAAAAAAAAATATAACATTGAATAAGAAATTTAAATTATTCACTACTATTTCCAATCCCCCTATTAGTTTTCTGATACCTACAACACACTCACGTACACACATCGAATTGGGTCACATTATACTCGATTCCTTGGCGTAGCAGCAATATATTGTAGCGTACGAACTTTTTCTCAATAACACGCTTTTTAATCACTTTTATAATACAATTTTTAATTCACTTAGCTCTTTTGTTTTGCATGATTGGATATTTTCTCCTAACACATTTAAATATCTATTTGCTTGCATTACAAATAATCCTTCAATCTTTTCCCCCAACTGAGAATTGCAACATTAAAATATTTTCACGCGCTGCCTTGTCCTCGCACAACATTCTCTCGCGCAATTCACGACATGTTTGCTGGGGACGACCAGTTGGGCAAACACAGCAACCATCTGTGAGCGGAATTTGGTAGCGTTGCCAGGTGGTTGCTACGGAAAATTAAAAACATAAACTAGAAAAATTGTGTATTGAAAGATATTATGTATTTTAAAAACAGTGCTAAGTTAATTTGAAGACGCTGAAGGGAAAGTAGTCCCGTATTAAAATAAATAAATTTTCTTTAAATAACTATAAATATTTTTTTGCCAATTGAATTGTGCCTTAATCATGATATTGAAATGTAACTAAGGAGATATGATTTTTTTTTAATATGAAATCAAATCCTGTTTGCGAAATTTAATAGTTTTTGAGCGGTTGATGGTAAGAATTGAAGTCTTGACCAAAAGATTGGATTTTTTTTAAATTTTTTACTGCGGCACTAAAATTAAACATTCGTCATCATTTATAATTGGGAATATTTTATAATGGCCATGTTCTCAGGCCGATAAATAATTCATAGAGTGTACCTATTTGGAGAAACAGCTTATTTGTTCGATTTTAGTGGATAATCCACTATGGAAACAAAATAGTTTTGTATTGAGTCTAATATCAACAGAATATGATACTGCATAGTTTTCTGAGAAGGACTTAGGAACTGAAATGTTTATTCAAATAAAATATTTCCGGAAAAGGAAAAAAATTGTAGCAAAAGCCGGAAGAACTGGGTTTAAATGCTGTTCCGATCGACATTCAAATTAATAAAAAGATGCTTTTTCGGCTGGGAGTGCTTTCGATTACAACCCCTTCAGAACAAATTTCTTGGAGGTACATAAATTGAGACAATCAGCTACTCTGGGCATATATTTCTTAAGTTTTTCAGATGTGTAAATAATATACTTTGTAATCACAGCATCATTTCACATAAAGAGGCTGAGTGATAAAATTTATTAAAATATTAGCAAGATGTATGCGTATATGATTTCATTGATTTGACCATTTTATATATTCAGCAGGTTTAGCTATACAACCAAAATAACATCTGGTAGCACTATTTGGGAGGACTTTCGGGTATTGAGTTCAACAATCGCATGGTGAAGCTTTTTTTAAGTTCAGCGCTGGAAAGCTCATTATTAATAAATTGTCCTGCATAAAAGCTTTCATGCGCAGCTTTTCTTGTAGTTCTAATGTTTACGAAAGTTGTGACCAAGTATCTTCACCATCGGTTATCATCAGTGCAGACGCGCACCAATAAATTCGTTTCGAGTGAATTACTTTGGATGGTTTAACTGAGTCTGACTGAGCACAAAAATGAATTAATATTAATGCCAAAAATTTGCTACGGGTGTGCTGCTATCGCGATAATTTAAAGAAAGTACAAAAAATAAGAAATAAAGCTCCTCATAAAAAACCATCAGCCGTTCGGAGGCGGCTTGGTATAAACTTTCGGTCTCTCCATTTGTTGGAAAGATATAAAGACACAAGACCACAACTTAGAGGAGGAGCTCGGCAGAGAATCACTTTAGCGGTTACAAAGCGCAAATTATATATATATATATATATATACACATAAAAAATATCAATGTACGATTAAATTGTTTTATTTTGCATTCATTATTGTAAACATCATCTATATGCCTTCAGCCTTATATTCCGCCTAAAAGTATATGTACATTATTTGAAATCCGTAATACCTAAAAGGTTTTGCATACTTTTCGGGCTGTTTTAAACAAATATTTCAATAATTCCCAGTAAAAGCAAGTTATACCTTTTACAAACTTACCAACAACAAAATATCTACAAATCGCATTGATTTCCAAGTAAATAATTCTTTTTAAGTCAACAAAAATGTTTTACAGTAATATGCCATTGCCATTACAAGCTTTTAGGCGCATAGCAGCGAGAATTGCTAAATTTGGGCAACAGACAGTAGAGGCAGTAGTTGGTAATCGTAATTTCCAACATTTGCCAATAAGCGCGTAAAACTTTTTTGCATTGCTCAATACTTCGGCAACGGTAAATATGCAAAGTAGTCATAATTTCACTTTGACTTTGAGAATTGGTATTTATTTGAATGTTTCTTTGGTTTCAGTTGTTGTTGAAATTTTTTAACGAAAATTCCAGTTGCTAATAAAACAAGAAAAGAAAACTTTGTTCGCAAATAATTTTTAAAATCTAAAATTTGAAGAAAATCTAATTAAAAAGACTTAAACAAAAATACTTTCTCTGCAAATTGATGAAAGAAATTTATATACACACTAGCTTGCAGTTACATTTATGTACATATTATATATCTAAATATCAAGCCATAAAAAATTTTATATCGGTTTTTTTAATAAAAAAATTTTAAACATAGTAGTAAATAAGTAAAAACTAAAATCAAGCAAATGTGTTTGGATGAGAAATGAAAAAAGTTCAAAAAATTAATGTGAACTCAGTGAAATTTATTAACGAAAACAAACCGTACCTTTTCCCAAGCTTTGCATATGTTAAGCCATCTCTACGTAGCACATTTTATGCTGAACCACATCGATAAGTTAGTGTGGGGTTTTTCTGCTGCTTGATTTCACTTGTAAGCCTAAATAAACTTTCCAACATAAATAACACCTCAGCATAGCCGCTGCAGCCGAAATACGTTTTGGTCCGTAAATAAAGATAAATGAAGGTGTTTGCAGTGCATTTGTAGATTACCAAAACAAAAAAGGGGAGGAGGACAAAAAGAAAAAATTATTTTCTGTTTCTGTTTCAATGGCTGGCATTTTTTCACCTAATTTCATAGTTTCCATTTCGACAGTAAAGTTTTTTCATTTCACTTAATAGCATAGTTTTAGGCGTTACACTTTAGGGTGGATCCCAATGGCATCTAAGAAGATGCTTTTAGAAGTTTTTATGGCATCAAAAAAAACCTTATTATTGCCAATCTTTAAAACTATGTTTAGAATTACATATTACAAATTTTAATAATATTTATTTAGTTTTTAGTTAATATAAGCGAAAGTAAAACCGAAATTAGCACAAATCAGTCCAACTTGCTGGCAACTTACAAGGCAATGGGCCGGTCGGTTGTTACACCACTGCCACTACTTAATCACATCAAGAAAGGAGTACACGCCTTTAGGTACCCTGCACATAATCGAACAAGTCGAACAGGACGGCAGCACAGAGAAACAATCAACATCTTCAAATTCTCTCTTCCTGTGAATGGCTTTCTTGAGTTGTCTCTTGAGCCCCACATCATTCTGGAACAATTAAGTTATGGATAATGGATCAGACTCCGTCAAAATAGCCCGTCAAAAGAGCTCGTCAAAATAGCTCGTTGTATGACCTTGCGGCCGCGGTAGCCGAGTGGTTAGCATTGCGTACTGACATTCGGAAGGCTCGGGTTTATATCCCGGTGCGACCAACATCCAAAAGTTATCGAAAATTAATTTAATTAATAAATTAAGAGAAATTTTCTAATTGCGGTCGCCCCTCAGCAGGGAATGTCCACCCCTCTGAGTGTATTTCGGACATGAAATAAAGGCTCCTTGTAAAAAAAAACCATCAGCCATTCAGAGACGGCTTAGTATAAACTGTAGGTCCCTCTATCAAGACGCAAAATCGCAAATTGGCGGAGGAGAATTTAAATATACCTATTTTCGTTTGCATTTAGATGGCGCGCAAAAGAAAAAATCATTAGACTACCCTATTAGAAAGTTCACGCAGAATATACATGGATTTTTTCGTAAATTGAGTTGTAAAAGTTCGTCAAACAACCATATTTTCTGGCTGAGCAGCACCTAAAGCTTCTCTGCGTCCATTGGGCATATTTAAATCCACCATTCAAGAAATGACCTCATTAGTTAACGGCACACACTCGCATGCATGTGCGTGTTTGAGTGTGTGTGAAGGTAAGAAATTATGCGTTCAAATCAAAAAGAAAACATTTCCATTATCTAATGCGAACAGCTTTTGTTGCAAAACTCCCAGCCGAATTAACTTCTCACCGCTACCCACGCACATATGTAAATACATATAATATAAACAGGCAGCTATTAATCGCGGTAAGCGCCTACATATACTATTTCATTAACAAAGTAGTTCGGCGGCACCTCACACATCAATTTCACTTATTATCTGCCTTTGGTTTTCCATTAAAGTTCACACACACACACACACACCCCCACAAAGTCACTCAGCCAGCAACACCTGCGTGAGGTTGATTGTTTTCTCATTTCCTGAAGTAATGTGAAAGATAAATAATTGCAAATCTTGCAAATTCTCACACCTCAAAAACCAAAGAGCTGCTAATACTGTCGAAAATCTTACGGGATCGCATTAATTAACTTCACTTCCGCTTTTTATGCACGCCGCACGCTGCTAAAGTAGAAGTGAATACTCCGAGAAGAGAGACTCCATCATTCGTTTGATTTTGATTTTCTTGGTTTTCGATTTTACGGTCTTTGTATTATCTTTAACTTATGCTTGCCATTGTTTCTATTGTTTTTAACGCATTTTCGCTTATTCATCCATTCATTTCCTCATTAATTCACTGCCTATTTCTTTGCTGTTATTCCAGCTTTTTATTGCTGCTTTTATGAAATTGGTTTGGTGTTGCGTTACTTTCTAGGCGAAAAACTTTTAATTAGCACGAGGTTAAACTCAGGTAGGAATATTTACATGGACACATACACTCTTATATTTCAATTAATATTAAATCAAACTTAATTCAACTTCTTGGCAATATTTTTTTTTGCGATTTTCGGCTGACGAAGTTTTATGTGGAGCCTTTTATTTCAAGCCAGAATTTCAGTCGCAGAGGTTGCCTTTACCTGTGATATGGCGGCGACATTAATAAATTTTTTTTAAATTAGTTCTCCGAAATTTTGCGATGTTAATCGGGGCAAGACTCGTAAAGACTCGTACACAAGATCTTCAACAGGTTAACCTGCACTGCTAACCCCTCTCTACTATTGGCACCGCCATCTTTAGGTAACCAAAATTATAGCAAAGTACTTCGGTCCTGTTCGGCTGCATGTCTCATGTGCAGGCACTTTAACTGTTACTACATTTCCATCGAACTTCTCAATGACCAGGTCGGGTCCACAATGTGGCTTGTTCCTGTCATACGGGGAAAAGAAAAGGAGAGATTTCAAGGGAAGCGAGACGCCTATAAAGAAGAAAAATGAGAGGAGTTGATATGCATGAGTACAAAAAATGTTAATCAAGAAGGAGTGAAGTGTCTTGCGGACACTTTTAAGCCTCTTCTTCTATGAATGAGAGTGTCAAACTTCTTCTGCTAGGGTTGATTGAGACTATCTGTTAGCTGCTGGAATGAAATCTCTCTCTCTCTTGTTTTATTGAGTCTATTATCGAATCGAATTAGCGAAGCGAATGGTACTAATAGTAAACGAGAACAAAACTTAATATATCCACGTCTTGGCCTCTACTTCACTGTTGACAGTCATAATATCGAAAATTTCAACTATCTGAGGAACCGATCTCATTTGTGTCCCCATTCGACGCCGTTCTGTGAAGAAACAAACCGATTGACTCTCTTTTGTTGATTCGGCCGTAGATGTCGGAGAAATAGCTGCTGAAGACATTGGAGAGTTGAGTTGGGAAAACTGCTTTATACGAGCATTTCAGGTGAAAATCTTTTTTGGTCATTTTTTGTTCTTTTTTTTCATTTATTTTTTATGTCAAAATGCAAGCACGATCCAAAAGCTCTGCTAGAATTTGCAATTTCCTGAAATACCTTGCATGTTTAACAATGGCAATTTTTTGTCAATTCTCTACACAAATTTCAATATGGTAAAATTATATCAAATTTCATTCCAAATAATTAAAATCAGTTAAATACATATAAATCTTAACTGCAACGATAAACACTGTTTGTTGTCGACAGGTAGACAGAGCGATGGCCACAACGCTGAAATTGCTGCAACGAACCACTGAAAAACAAACAAACCAATAAACGCCGTGGACCATGTGAATTCATTTCATTGGTATTGTGCTGTGTTTGGTCCGCAACTGGAATTGCCACTCGAAAATACATGAGTTTTAAAAATTAACTAATTTGTACACAACTCGCCGAATTGTCATCAAAAAATTTGAATAATTCATAATTAAAAAACCGCGTCACGACAAGCAATAAAACCGCAAAATTATTTCTTTTTCAACAACAAATGCGTGCATTTGACTGAATGATGTGCACACGTGTCGCTGTGTAAGTGTGTAAGGGTGTGTGGATGTGGGACTGTGTTTTTCCCATTAAAAGCACTCATGCTTCCCTCACAGGCATTGCGAGTTCGGCAGCCTGGCAGGGCTCTAACCAAAGAATATGGTCGGCTGCTGACTGACGTTGCCACAACAACAACCAAAACCATAAATTGGCGTACAGACACATAATCAGCGGTAAATAAGGAATTTTCTTGTGAAAAAAGCTTTATTTTGTTGAAAACGATTAAACGTACACTCTTTTACGAAATTGTTCAAATGAAGGAAAATATAGAGAAAACAGTACACCGAAATTTTGTGTGATCCGTAAGGACAGGCTCCAGGCGGTTTAATTTTTGCGTACTTACTTCTATACTTAAGGCAAAGCGGTTTTCGGATGAAAATACAAAAAAAATTAGGACTAGAAAAAAATAATATGCACCGTTTTACTCGATACATTTTTCATATTTTAAAGATAATTTCATTCCTCAAAGAAACACTTGTCACTATGGGCAGAAAATTTGAACAGGCGATTTTCACAGACTGCTTTTGAGGTCAAATTTTCATAAGCCATATAATTTTTCGTAGACAGGCGGATCTTTTGGCGCCTCACTATCGATGTGTGTGGTCTGGCGTTATCCTGATGAAACACAATTCCCATCGTGTTGGCCAAAGCTGGGCACTTCTGGCCGATTGCTTCCTTTAGGAACTACTTTTTATTGCTTGGAGACCGTTTGCGCCGCCTAACTGCCCTTGGTTTACTACCGTTTCTGTTTGACATTGCTGTAAATGGCTAACTTTTTAGCGCCAGTCACCATCTGTTTCAGGAATGGGTCAAATTTGTTATGATTCGTATATGGACATTCGGTGCGTGATGCTTTTGCTCCATAACTCATGTGCTACCCACACATCGAGTTGCTTTGTTTAAAACTATTTTTTGTGCCATGTTTTGCTCCTGGACAGTCGAAACTCTGCTCGCATGAGGGCCAAACTAGGCGAATTCCATTATTTAATGGACATTTCCGATAATTGGCCTTCCATACCGTGGAGCATCTGTTCCATAAAAGTTACCGGAAGGAAATCTACGAAACCAAATTCAGCATCATTCACTATTCCAGTGTCAGGTATCATTAACACCATTTACACCTTCATGTGCCAGACTTGCGTTTTCGCTTTATCGAAGAAAAAGTTTAGAATTTAGCTATTTTTTTTTACTGATTTGTCTGTGACTGTATAGGTTTCGCATTTAATACAAAAAAAATTATTTATTTTATGGAAAAGGCTTTTTTGTTAGCTTCCTTTATGCCATTTTTATTTTACGATTTTTACTGCGTATAACTGTAAATAAATAAGCACACCTGAGTTTCATATAAAATAGCATTTGTTTGCATCATTCGCATAATCGGGCGGTCACCGGTGGACGTGCTGTCAAATACTTCAATAAACCCGTTTCAACTAACGGTAATGTAGCGCCAACAAATGTGCAGTTCATATAAATAAGGAAACATACATTTTCATGCATTTTACATATGTATTGGTAGCTGGCTACTAACTATGTATGTATGTATGTGCACATACAAAACAATTTTGATCTCCACCAATCGAGCAGGGAAACACTTTGCAATGAAAATTGAAATTGTTGACAATTGTTGTTATTGCATTGGCTATTTGCTAGCTGCTGTTGTTGTTATTACTGTAACTGCTTCCTTAATAATTTTCGGCGCCACAATACGAACAACATCGAGTTGTAGCAAGTTTTTTTCGCATCGGACGCCACTCGCCACTTCATTCGCTGACCACATTTCATTTGCAGCAGCAATTGTACGGCGAGGAAAGCACAATGCCGTATGTACATTATGTATACATGTGGAAATGTACATGTGCATGTGTGCGTTTGTAATTGCATCTGCTTCATTTTGTTGTTTGCAGTTTAGCAATTCGTGACTGGAGCAAAATTACACGCATTTCGCAGTAGATTAAATATTGCGTGTGCTAAATATAACATACAACACACCCATACATATATGTATACGCATGTATGTTTATACTGGTGATAAAGTGAAGCAGTTTGCCAAAAATTTGCTTTATTAAATACACTATTTTTAGGTGAATCGACAGGTTACTCGCGCATGGCAGTTGGCCGTGCTTTTCGTTTTGTGGCAAGCGGGGCAGGTCCGTAAGGCGGTAGACTTAGTGGCTTGCATTGAACAGAACGCACTCTTCTTCAATTTGGTATCACAATTAAACACCAGGTCCTTTCAACGAAGTGGAGGTTCTTCTCTTCCCCTATTTTCACCACTCAGAGCTGAAATAATTTCCATCATCCGTATAACAAAATCTAAGAGACATAGCCACTGTATCTCGATACGCTGAAGTATGTCAGAGGCGTTGATCTTCGGAGTCAGCGTTCCATCGTCTACAGAACTCGAACTTGAAACTCCTGGCCGCGACTATACTAAGCCCAAAGTAATATCTGTTGGCCGGAGAGTTATCAGATCTTTATTTGCATGTTGTGCTCTAAGTGTACATACATATTAAAATACCTACAGTTCATTCTATGTTGCTTTAACATGGCGTGTAGATTTTTATGAGCAGCTTTCATTGACATTCCCTCCTAAGGGACGATCGCAATAAAAAAAAATATTTTTCGATACAGTTTTTATATTTTTAGCGTTTGAAAAATACTAATTGAGCGTATGATTATATGGCGAGATTTGTGCTTCAGAATGCCTGATGGAAAACCTTAACTGGAGAACAGATGTCGCGATGAGACTTTGGCGAAGGCACTGCGTTAAGCCGAGTATGTTAGAGTGGGTCCAGTGAAACCTTCCGTATTTCAGCACTGACACAATAGTAACCGTATCTTACAGATCCGAGTGCTAAGGTTCTTACGACGAAGTTGACACTGCCTGGCGAGCGGTGATTACATTTTAAAAAACTTCTTCTCCGACTTTAAATGTATGTGGCTCTGGCTAGGATTCCAACCCATGATCTGCTACTCCTTCGGTTACCGCGGCCGCTAGCTGTAACTAAGTAACCAGAGGTGAATATTAATGATGAGTTAGTTGCTTGTAACTTATTCGAAATTAACATAAAATATTTTGTTTTATAATTTTAAAAGAACTGAAGTTTTATTTGATTAATTTTTTATTAAAGTCGTTCCCGATTTTCATAATTTTTTTCATTGAATTATTCTTTTCCTTCTTCTCTCGATTCCAATGGTAATATAGATTTTCTCCTAAAAAAGCAACAAATCCCAAAGCCAAACTGCCGAAGAACTGCATGCGTATCCAGAAAAAGTCATTCAAATCCAATGGCCGCCCAGACTGCCAGGGTGTGCTCAGATCTTCGAAGAATACCATTTTCAATTTCGCCAAAATATAGAAGTTCAATGAAATCCATTCGTTCATTATACCGGACGAATGGAGACGCAATATATAGTCATCCAACAGATCACCATAAGGCAGATCTGGGCGTGTGGGCAAGCACACGAATGAGTTTTTGAAGAAACAAAGATCGGTATTGAAATAGAAAATCGGACGACTGAAAAGACTCTGCTGAAAATCGAAGACTTCCCAGCGTACATTGGACACAGGATACACGAATTTCACGCTCATGGCTGAGCGATCCCTTAGCCAAGCATCGTAATCTTTTGCAATCAGGAAGAGTTCTTTATGCTGCGCAACACTCTTGTTGGTCGTTAACATATGCTGTTCGTTGATGGGGAATGAGATTTTCAAACCCGCTGCCGCCATATCTTCGTAACTGCGATACATCGGTTGGAGCGGTGGGTGTGTGAGAAAGGATTGTAGGTAAGACTGATAGGTGGTGTTCGTGATAGTGCTCATGTAACACAGTAAGAATATGATAAACTTCACTTTCAAACTCGGGTTCATCGGCGCCACAAAGGATTGACCTAACATGCCGCGTATACTTTTGTCATTCAAAAAGAGGTTAATAAAAGTCAGGCGCTTGCCTTTGTTGAGGTGAGTGAGTAACGCGGCGAATATTACAATGAAAACGAATATCCAAAAGAGTGTGGGTAAACGTATAATGCCGACGAATAGTTCATTTATAGGCACAGCCTCCGGTAGTGGTACCATGAAACAGTAATCGAGAGTTTGCACCGGATATGACATAACCTCAAAATCCTTTAGTGAAGTGGGAAATGCGAGACCAGCTGCCACATCAACGGTGTTATTGAGAGCCAGCGCCAATAAATCGCCATAATATGTGGTTTTGCCCACCTTGTAGGGATGTTCTATGGTCAACGCGGCATTTCGTTTCTCGGCAAAGGTGCGCAACAAGCGACCAATGTAGCCCTCTAATACCAGCTTGCCGTCCGGTTTGAAGTAGAGCATGGTGCGTGGTTGCAGCTGATCGGGGTAGGTGCGCATTTTCATGCCGTGCATATCACGAAATTGATGTTCAAAGATGGCGCTACTGACGTCTGTGAGTGATTTCTGCTTATAAGGCGGCGCGTCGAGTGGAAATCGATTGCAGGTGTAATAGTTGTGCGTTGCGGAGAAATCCTCTTGTATTATCAGAACATTATAAATATCTGCCGTCATTGCGGCAGCACAGTATTTTTCTATCAGTTCAAGATCACTGGCCTGCGGGGCGTAAGCGATAATCCGAGTTTGTTTTAGGCCACGAAATACATGAAATGACTCAAATGCTGTGGCCACACCTTCGTCTGCGAGACAGAGAAGAATGATGAGCTCTCTTGAATAACTTGCTTTGAAATCGTACTCCAGCCGCCGATGAATGAGCAACACCGGCGTAGAAATTTCCGGCAGAAGTTGCTCAAAAATGCATTCCTGCGCGGTTGACAGACAGAAGGCGATTGTATCGCAACCACGCTCTCCACGCACATTGTCAAGCAGCTCCAGCATTTTATTTGGCATCTGTTTGTTATAAACATTGCTGAGAAGGAGGTTAGCGTTAGTTAAATTTGTAAGAATTGTCAGCAAAGAAAATTTTAGAAAACACTTAAATAGTTGAACTTTTGCCATTGTGACTGTTAAAAGGTAATTAACGGGAGCTCTCGCAGTAAGTACTGAACTAGTTTTCCGTTTATGCGCGTTTAAATGCACATTTGTTCAGATTTGTCCGCTTTGCGTGCAAATATTTGCTTTCGAATTATGTTTACAAATGCTTGGTTGTTGTTGCTGAAATTGTTGAAACGGTCCTTTTCCATGTTTTCTATCGTATAGTTTGAGATTTTTGTGATATTAAATTTTTAATTGCAATTTAATACTTAAATTAATGTTTTGTGCACTAAATTTTTTTTTGAAATATTGTTGGAAAAAATTGGCTAAGGCACCGAAATTGTGTCACGCCCAAATCATATTCTACACCGCCGCTATGGTGCTTCTTTGGCCCAGTCGCATAACCCGTGTAGTTAATAATGCGTGCTGCCACCAAGCGGAGTTCAAAATCATGGTCAGACCAAAATTCTAGTTATGATCGGCGTTGGCCGGGATAGAAATTTAGTCGGGTTGATACTGTGGTTCCTGGAAGGGCTGGAAGTGGTTATATATATAAATATTATTTTATTAAAAGGTTTAGGTTTATTTTAGTTAAAGGTTTAGAATGGACCAGAGACTTGTAGTCAAGTTCGATTTGCTTGAAATATTTTAAAAAAATATTTTCATTACGGAAAGGGATCTGTCAATAGATTGACAAAAAATTTACCGTGCCTAGGTATGCTCGCTTTTCATTTTCATTATTCTGAGGTTTCGGGTTACAAGCTAGTTTTATACGTTCAAATTGAGTGTGAATAAACATAGACCTGGACGCTGCGTTTGGCTTTCTTAGAGGTATTTTAGTGATAGGCTTGGAGCAGCGAAAGATACAGAAAGCCACAGCAACGTTTAGTTGATTCCGCTATTTTGTTTTATAATTTTGGAGATTGGTCCAGCATGGCAACACTGTTAACTACTCGGCTAAAACGGTCTCTCATCATACTCAAGCAGAAGCGTTAACAACAGCTAAGGAATCGGTTTAGGCGGTTTCTAAGCTTTTTCAAAAGATTTATGGTTCTCTTCGTATGTGCGTCCGCGCGTATTTTCAAACAATGGATCTTTGAGCTATACAAGATATACGGGAGACAAAGCGCTTTTGCTGCCTCGGAAAATATTCTATTCCGCACATACTAGTGAAGACAGAGCAAGAGGAAAAATTAAAACCCGCTGGAAAGATTAAGTGGAGTAGGACTGGTTTCTAATGGTGGCTCTAATTGGTTATAATAGTGTAAGCGGTGCCTACGTCAATTAAGAACAAGGAGAAGAAAAATGGGAAGAATAATGCTGAAAAATATCATCTACGGAAAAAACCTGAAAAATAAACACCCTATAATCTTACTCTCTGCTTAGGGTGCACCCAAGAATGCATATAAGTTGCAAAAAAAAATTATCTTTATTTCTTATAGATTCAGTTTTCTGTTATATAGCTGAAAGAAGCAAAAGCACAAAGGGCTCACTAACAATTTCTCCTAATTAGGCGCATTTCACTGTCTTTGCACTTCAAGCGCTCTTCATTGAACAATTTTAATGCCATTTTAAGTGTTCATTACGGCAAAATTTTCCTGACAATCGAATGAAGCACAAAGGATTTTCTTTTAAATTCTACTACCAGTAAAATAATGAAATGGCAACACCGAGGAAAAAAATCATCCAAAACGAAAATAGATACATCCTTTGGCCGCTGCGCAATAATTGCATGCTTTGACTAGTTGCCGATCATAAGTACACAAAAATTATTGTAATAACAATAGAGAATAATAATAATATTATAAGCGTACTATTGCTTATTGTGCATTTTGAAGACGAAAGTGCCACTTTTGTTGTCTTATTGTTGCAACTATTTGGCCAGTGGCAAAGACTCTCTTCTATACGGCTCTCCATAGCGTGTTGCAGTTTGTTGAAAGAAATGGAGTGAGTATAGTCACTACTGTTAGCAGCACCTCCGTTGTGTGAAGTAAGTAAAAAGTAAAGATATTTTTTATTTTTTTTCTTTTTTTTTTATTTTTATTTTTTATTTTTTTTTCCCTCCGCTTCCTTTGAAAGCGGCAACTTTTTTACATTTCCTTCCCTATTTGCTTGCCTTTGCTTTTCACTAGTTTTAATTCATTTGCCGCTTTTCATTGCGTTTATTAATGGCGTTGCTGTGGCTGCGCCTCCGCCGTTGGACATCGGCTGCCCGGCTGGTTGGCTGGAGTGTTCATAGTGCGCGACGCAACAATTGCGTGAATTGCTGCGACAATTTTGCACTGTTAGCGATAAATTGCTGTATTTCACTTTATGCTTTTATGTCATTTGTTTAGTATATATGTATGCATTCATCTTCTTCTTTTGGTCTATTTTAACGCTTACACTTTCTGCACCATCGCCGCCGGGCAAAGCTGCGACAGTTAAAAGGAAACAAAACGCAGCGTGGCGGCAGGGCAAATAGTGCGCGGCGTGTGACAGCAATTGGAGTGTCCTTTTTAAACGTGGCGACGTGGTTTACAACTTTGCCGCCTTTCAGCGTTCCCGCTAGTGAAAAGTAATTGATTTATGCGCAGAAAATGTTCAGTTAATTGGACGGCACTGTGGACAGTGCGTGCGGATGTGAGCGGTGGTCACCTTTGTGCTACTGGTAAATCGGATTTGGAAATAAAAAAAAGTAATCACAAATAAATACCCTGAAGTGTATTTAAATGAAAGCTTTGAAAAATGAAAATAAAGAAAAAGCGATGTATTTTTCAGTTTTATGTAAGCGTTGGTTAAAGAAAAGCTGTAAAATGCACGAAATGCTTGTAAAAGTAATTAATTGGCGGCGGAAGTGCTTTGGTTTTAACAGAGGAAGACTCAGTTCTTTCTGCTTTCTTAAGTACTAATTATTGCTGAAGTCTGGACTATTTGAACGGCTGTTTAAACAATCGCCTTTGAGGCTTAATTGGTTTTAGAAACAGATCTCAATTAGTTTACAGTTATTATTTCGCTAAAAATATATGTGATAAGAACTGAAAGGTTCTCAAATTATTTAATTGGTTGCCTTTTATATTTCTAAATTAGAGTATTGTACAAAAACAAATATTAATTATTGAAAATCTCTTTATGTGTTTCTAAATTTTCTCCATTGAAATCTATACACACTTTTCAAGCGTTCGAAACAATTCCCGAAGCACGTGTGTCACCCTGACTGAGGTATCTCCAAAACATGCATTTTGAACGCATCAACCGCCTCTTCAAGAGCCGAAGAACGTCGACCTCTTAGTTCATTTTTACATACTGGTCATAAGAGTCAAGACTATGTGATGAGTTTCTTCAGTCGTTGTGTGAGAACATGCATTTTCGTGATTTATTGAAAGACAAGTGACAAGCAAATGGCGGGGCACCACTCAGAGCTTACTGTTCAGCGTTTTTCTAGTTTTACGGTAGCGACATATCCAGTTTCTCCAAAAAAAAGGCAACATTTTCCTTGGAAGTGCGTAATGCGCGAACAATATTTGTTGGATCCGGCTCATCTTTAAGCACCCATACAGCCCACTGCCCATTAAACGAAACATAATTGAAACATTTCTAAAATTTTGAGACTGATTTGCAATCAAACGTAGTTATAACAGTTCCATCCAGCTCCTAATCTTATTGAATTCGATTTAATTGGCGGTGGCCGCATCTTTTCATTTTCTTAATATTTTCCAAAGTTGTAATAAACAATCATAAAAGGAATACACTGGATGAAGCCCAGTATGAGGGGTTGGAAAATACCATATAATACATGATTTTTTAATGGTTTTTAATGTTCAAACATTTAAAAATTATTGATATATATATATATTGAATGTCAGATAGCTATAATGACGACTGCGAAGAGAGAATGAAACTGCCTTTAACATGACAATCTAGCATTATCATTTTGGGCAAAGCATCAATAGCTTCCGGAACAACAACTGATTTTGGTCGCCCTTACGGCTAAACACGACGAAAGTTGTAAAAAACAATCTCGTGAAAATGCTCCGTATTTATTTTAAATTTTTGACCAATTTTCAATCCAAGATCTCTTCGTAAATTACGAAATACTTAGTCAGTTAATTCTTTCGCGGATTTGTTGTACAATATGAAATAGTTGTAGAAAGAAGTTTAATGTAAATAAATAAATAAATAAAGCATATTTTTCTTAACAAATATTATGACAAAATATCTGCTTTGAGTTGAAAGCAAAGAAAAGAGTCATTGCGTTGTTTTGACACTCTTAAATGAGAACACTTAGTCACTTACTTCACTAACTTCACTTTTTACCTACGTACATCTTCATGTATAATTTGAGGACACTTCTCCGCTACTAAAACATTTATTGCTGTTGTCATAAGCGAAGTTTGTCAAATTGTGAGTTTTTGTGAATAAATAAGGAAAAAGTTTGAGTTGTCAGTCAAGCTTTTTGTTTTTTGTGATAACGCACTGTTGGGTTGAAAATTTAGCAGAGCCATTTTTGGAATTGAGTTGAAATGAAAGTATTTCAAATCACAAAATGTGATTTTCTATTTCAATGCAATCGTATATATAAATAAAGATCTAACGGAAGTTGAAATTGAAAAAGATTCCCATTTCTGAAGCTCACAGTTTGAGAAACACTGGTCAATCCATGTCAGTAGTGTAAATGGGGAAGTCTGTTTGAAGTTAGTGGTTAAGTGTTTTACAATATTTTGCAAAGTAATATTATATTACTTAATTTTTTGTTATAATCCAAGTAAAATATTTCACAGTTTGATTGCTAAAAGCGGCAAGGTTACTTATTTATTGTATGTAGTTGCTACTACCTAGGTACGTACTACTGTGGGTAAAAAGTAAAATGAACTTTTAATTTGAGCTTCTCGATATTATACGCGAGGGTATATTCTTTTTTTTAA